TATATAAATTATCATATATATAACATTATTTTATAATAAATAAAAACTATAGAAGAAAGTTCTCAAAGGAAGAAGAAACCAGACAAAAAAGTATCCTCCCTTCTTTTTCTATGGAGGTCCCAGAGTCTAGGAAGAAGTTTGGACCAATAACTCTATATCAGCTAGTAGGCAGATAGCAATATCACGGGCAAAAATGGCTTCTCTCTCAGCATGTAGCAGTTTTCTTGATTTTTCTAAAGAATTTTGCCTACCCTAGCTTAGTCCTGAATTTTCTGTTACACCGGATTCTGGAAAAATTGATTGACTGAAGTTTGGAACTGGTTGCTCCATAGTTAGCAGAAATATAAACAAGGATACACGTGACATGGAACGTGAATACATTTTCTAAGCTTTATAAGAACCTTAGATTCATTATAAGTTACTGGCTAGTTATACAGGTGAATAAACATGACATGGACCATGATCTCCTCTCTCTCATTAACTTTGAAAGTGTCAAGGCTATAAATTGAGTACTTTTTGAGGCAAAGTTGGGTGGATGAGTAGTTGTTAGGTGTCTTTTCATTCCTTCCTCTATTTTATTTTCTTGTAAATATTTTCAACCTTTTCCCTCTATTTTAATTTTTTTTTTTTAACACTGACTAGTCACAAAACTAGTACAAGAGACCTCCAATATCGGATGGTGTTGGAACTCTTGTGCAAGTCCTGGCATGTTAGGTCCTGTAGTGGGTAGCAACAAGTCAATTGGTGGGTGCATTAGTGTACTCTAGATAACATCAATTCCTGAATATAGAATGGGTAAGCAATACACAGCTTGTGTATCTCACTAGTTCTCCGCTTTGTTTTTAAAAGAGAAGTATTTACACTAGACGGTCATATATTTTCCTTATCCTGGTTAGGTTAGACATAGATCAAGTCATAAAAATAGATAGCTCCCTGTTCTATTTCTCTCTAGTGATCTGTAAATCCTTAGACAGTACAAGAAAGTATTCATCCCGATTGTTGTTAAATATGATATTTTTTTAATAAAGCACTGGAGAAGGTGTGGGATAAGCTAGTTTTAAAATAAAAAAATAAAAATCTTAAGAAAGGTATTTAAACCTTAGCTTTTTTAATTAAAACTTTATTACTATCTGAGAAACTTAAGTAAGAAACAGAAGTTTGCAATCCATATTATCCATTACTTAGTCTTTTGATTATGGAAGTTTTTATTAAGGGACTTAAACTTTTTGAGAACAAACATTTTCAAAATATTCTTTCAATCATCAATGACATCATCGGAACATGTGAATATGATCAATAAAAGCTTGTTTATATTTTAGAAACTAATATATTTTATATTAACCAATCACCTTTGATGAGGATTTGTACTATCTAAAATTCAGGGTCAAACTGAGATAGGTAAAATTCTCTAAAAAAACTGTAAACATGGGAGCTCTAAGAGAATCAAGATAGTCAAAAAAGGAGAAAATAAATCTTTTTACTACAAAAAACCTCTATAAACCTCGTGCTTCAAAGGTTAAAAAGACCTTCAGGTACTTCACAGTCAGTTCTTCTTTTTTTGGGAACTTTCTTGTTGTTGGTATTAAAGGTACTATTTGACTTTTTTTGATTACTAGGAGTTAAGTTTTTGAGTAAAGAGGTTTGTAGACAATAGGGAAAGGATAGAAGTGACTCTTGAAGTTATACTTCAAGTTGTTTTAAGAAAAGTGTTAAAACTTTATTAGCAAGGAAGTATAAAAACTTCTTGCAAACATCTTTTTTGTGTGTGGTTAGAGGATCAGTGAAAAAAGTTTATTATTATACTATTGAATATTCATTAAAACTTTTTAAATAGTATCAAATATCCATTTATATATTATAGTAAAAACACCAGTATATAGTTTGATCATATTTTATATCTCTTAATGATTTTTGTACAATATTAGTTACAGTATATTCCAGATATCTTTACCTAGGTTCTTAGAAAATGTGTGAATCTTAGCTATTATCTTTGATAATTGACTTGTGCTTCTTTGTGGAAGTTCCCAAAACATCAGTGTGAATCATATATGGAAGTAAGTTACTAATACTTAATAGAAAGGTAAAGTCTTTAAGATAAACTACTGAGTCACTTTCTTGAAAGGTATGGGAAAAAAAGAAGTGAATTCAATTCCATTTAGAAATAAAAAGAGTTGAGATAAGAATATATATATTGATATCAGTAGGTCAATCCATATGTCATTTTCTTTGATCCTTATAATAATAATAGTACAATAAAGACCTATATTCATATATGTCATTCTTTGTATTTTAAAAATTAAGTCAAGGAATAGATAGAAAAACCAGTACCCTATCTTTAAATCTTTACCTATTTAATGAAGCTAAAGAGAATCTATTTGATGGTCAGAGGTAGGTGACTGTATCTTTAAAAATTAAACACAATATCTTGTAACCTTTACTATTGTTAGATAGACTCTTTTTGAAAATGGTTAATGACTTATGTGAAAATATGTTCTATATTCATGTATACTAGATCCAATGACTTATGGTAGATTTCAGGTTTTTATGGAGTTAAGGAAATATATTCAAGACATATAAGATAATCAATAGGTATTTGTTTATATTTTTTTACTGACATGTATTCTTCTGCCCAATCACTGTGTGGGAAACTTTGTGCTACTTAAAATTTAGGATCAAACTAATGTAGGTAAATTTCCTTATAAAGAATCAAGAATAAATACTATTAAAGTTATTACTATGACACAAGAATACCTTTAGTTCTTTTTTTTCCCAACTCCTTAACCTCCCCCATTTCTTCATTTTTTCCTCGTTTACTCTTACCCCTTTGTTTCATACCCCTCTTGTTGATAGATAGCTTTCCCCTTTTTCAATGTTTTCTTCCTAGGCTTCTCACTCTTTTTTTTCACCGAACCATATCATCAATCCTATGACATATCAAGACTTTTCTCTGGTCAAGACAGTGGGCTTAACACATGAAAAAGATCATAACAAGACTTCTCATGATTGAAAGGTGCACCTGTGGCAAGGGAGGCTACATCTGCAAAACTTTAGACATATCTTTCCATAATCACTAACCACTTTACAAAGCCATATGAATGGAGAAAAGGTAGTAACGGCAGGAATTTCATTCAGCAGTATCAAAAGTATAAGGTTTTACTTGTTGAGGACCTAGACTGCTACTGTTAATTGATCAGAAGTAAAGGGTTAGATGAGAGCTTTTGCTTTGAAGACTTGATAACACCACCACCATTCAACTCAAAAGAAATGACAATGGGACATCTTCTTGTTTTAATTCTCTCCCAAGATCCTATCAAAAAACCGTGGTCGGCTTACCCCCTCCAAAAGATTGGCACAGGATGATCACACCCTATTAGGTTCATGGCCTCTAATAAGAAAAGACCCATGGCCTATACCCTGACTCAAACTGGTTTCCAGGTTCAGCACAACAAAAACCTGATTTCCCTAATTCCCCCGTCATACATATCACTATATCATCATATTTTCCTAACGTGTACCCTTACTGGTCAATAGTAAACTAGCAGCTAGATATTATTTACCTTTTTTCTCTTTCTCTACGTGAGTTTTCGAGTTTGTAAGGGTTTACCCAGGTGGACCCTATTCTGACATACCCAGTTACAGACTGCAAGTATGTCACAATAGGATAATTGCAATAGGCATTAGTTAATTTACTTTGGTGTCACAACCTTGTAAAGACTATTCATATAACTGTTTACGAATTAATTTTCTAATAAAACTTGCATATATTGCTCATTTGCGATTAAAAAAAAAAAAAAAAAAAAAGTTAATACTATGACAAAAGAGTGTGTGGGTGTGTTCTAAAGAGTATTTCATTATAAATACAGTTTTGTGATATTTCTCTGCTAAATGAGAGGACCTAAACACTTCAGTTTTTCTTCCTTTCAAAATTTTCTTACCATTGATAAAAAGAATATTTTATGGTTGAGATCAATAAAAGTTATGTTTTTGTATAAAAAGGAATGTTTACAAGAGGGTGAAAAAGTGTGATAGTGACTCTTGAACTTTTTCTCAAGTTGGTTTAAGGAAAGTATTAAGACTTTCTTAGCAAAGAAATATAATAACTTCTTGTAAATATCTTTTTTGTATGTGATCAGAGAATCAATGAAAAGAATTGATAACTATTGTACTAATAATATATATAAGATAAGTTTATTGAATATAAGATAAATAAATATAAATAAGGTTGCAAAATATAACAAATATAAAATAGATTTGTAAAATATAATTTTATTTTTTTTTTTATTTGTAGTTAGATTAATATAATATGTTTTTATTGTATTATATATGTATTAATTATTATAATTTTTATATGCTAACTCACTCATTGTTAAAAGAAATATTTTTTTAGATGCAACTTAGAAAATGATATTTCACCTCTTTAATTTAAAATTATTGTTTACAGATTATTCTTATAGAATTTGTGAAATATAATATAGGTAAATATTTTGTAAAATATAAATGGATTTGTGAAATATAATATAAAAACCTAACCATTTAAAGGGAGAGTAATCACTTTGTTTTTATTGTTTGTTATTATTATCATTGTTAGAAAAAATAAAGATAAATAGACAAGTTTTCAATTTTTCAAAGAAAAATGATTATATTTAGTTTTTTTTACCTTCTGTGCTTTATTAAACCTTTTTGTATACTGTATATGGTTTCTATATATTACTAAAGCTAATTTTCTAAATAACTTACTCATCTTAATTTTAAACTCTAAGTATTTCACGAATCCGCTTATTCCTTTATTTTACATACAGCATTTACTGTATATTTACCGAGCCCACTTATCTTAGCCTATATACTTTCCACTAACTATATACTGTACTGTAGTCGTATGATTTAGTAATCATGCAACTAATGCATATTTAATCATCGATGTAGGGTGAACCCCAAAAAACGTATATTCGCATTTACTCTTCGATGAACTTCACAAATAACGAGAAAGGAAACTTGTTCACTTTTCAATCTTCTAGTCCACCAACCCAACAGACCCCTCCTCCTCCTATAGTTAACCATAAAGCAAAGTACAAAAGGAACAGCATTACTAAAAATCCAGAAGAGGCTAGGCAGAAACGTATTGAGCTTGATGCACAGGTTCGAAGAAAACATCGCGAGCAGCTTATAACTGCTAAAAGATTTAAGCATCACTGGGATTCTCTTAAAGAAGATGATGCTGGTATTTGAGGGTTTTCAATCCTCAAATTTTGATAATGATTCTTTATCCTTGAATTAATCAATTTTTGCAATGAACTTAATCACAGAATCTGAATTTGACTTATCACATCAGGACATAGAAAAGTTGAAGTCTGGTTTAGATGTTAGTACATTTTTCAATACAATATCCGTTTCTTGAATGATGGTTTATATATGTAACCTTGTGAACTTTAGAGCTCCAGCCGCGATCTACGTCTCTCAAGTCTCAAAGACCTGAGCACATATCTTGTAGATCCTCCCGATACATTGAAACTCTTCGTAATTGACGGAAATTGCATCGAAATCTTGATTGTGCGTATGTGGTCATTTATTTTCTCTCTCGTATGAGCAACCATCCTGACATCTAATTAAAATCATCGAAGAAATTTATATCCGGTGTAGATCCAGAGGAGCAATTACAAGCGACATGGTGTATAACAAGTATGTGTCGTTTTATGGTGATTAATCAACTATTAATAACCTGACGTTTTCCAAATGAGACATTGCCGCAGGACCCAAGGAATTTTGTCAAAAAGCCTTGGCAACAGTTCCATATTTAATCTCTTTTCTCGACGGAGAAAATATTGTAAGTCGACCTTTTTACCTGATGCGAAGAAATCACACATAAATGATGTTGATCTAATTTCTCCATTAAAGCCCTTACAAGATCAAGCGGCCTGGGTAATTGGAAATATTGCGGTGGAAGATCCAGAATGTAGAAATCTGCTTCGTGCAAACGGAGTACTGTCTCCCTTGATAAAATTATTAGACTCTCAAGTAATCATTGATCAACCAGTGTTAATTATATTTATCACGAATAAAGTATGCTACTAAAGCTATCTGTTTCTAAATAGGATGTAAATCTTATTCAAACGGCATGTTTTGCTCTTTCAAATCTCGCGCGTGGTCCAAATCCTAAACTTGAAGAATTTTTCTCCGCCGGTATAACCCAACATCTTCTACGTCATCTTAGAACCGAAGAGGTACCCAAGATTTTATGAATATTTAAAAAAAAAATTTTTTTTTTTCATATAACTAATATTATTTTTAATTTATAGATGAGTGAAGTCGTTTCTGAAGTCTGTTGGGTATTGACTTATTTGACGAGCTGTGATGATATATATGGCCAGGAATTGTTAAAAGAAGGGTTGGCGCCACTTCTTGTAAGAATTTCATGAAAATTTATTTTACCATTCGAATATTCTTCCTGATACTATTTGTTTACAGGCTAAACATATGCGTCATTTATTGAATCGCGGTCCGCTGGCATTACCCCTGATTCGTACTTTTGGTAATATTGCTAGTGGTCCAGATGATAATACAGATACTCTAATCAACCAACCGGATTTCTTGGCTTGCATGATTGAATATATTCAAAGTGATTGCAGGTAATTTGCGATTACTGGCACAGTATTTAGCGTAAAATTTAATAATTTCAACAAGTTGAAAATCTTTTAGATCTGTGAAGAAAGAAAGTTTATGGGTGATGTCCAATATAACGGCTGCGTAAGTGACTAAAAGTTGGAAATGGTTGTTTATCCGGAATAATATTAAATTCAGACCATGTTTTTATGTCTGAAGTCGTCGTCCGGATGTTTTGGTCAAAGTATTTGATGCTGGATTTATTCCAATCCTTTCGACAATTGCAACGCACACTAACTTCGATATTCGTAAAGAGGTTATTCGATTTATCTATTTGCTAAAATTTGTAAACTTTTATGTTAATCAAAGCAATTTACATTATTTATAGGCGGCATATAGTTTACTTAATATCGCTTCACATGGTGAAGAATACATGAAATCCTTGCCTCATCAAGAACTATTACCAGGTAGTAGCTCCTGTTCAAATTAGTTGGCCCCATTTTTTTGATGCTCTATTTACTATTCGTTCAATCGGCCGATCGACTTTGGAAATAAGTTATTAATGATATGATCCTTAATTATTCAGGTTTTTTGGAATTCATTCGTTCCCAAGATGTTGACTTAATTCGTTTAGGCTTGGGATATGTAGAGTTACTATTGACCCAATCTCCAGATGTATGATTTTTTTTTATTTCAACTATCCTTGACTTTGTTGTATTCTAACTCCGAAATTTTCAATTTCAACTATAGGGACAGCAGCTTCTTGATCGAATGCATGGTATTGATGCATTGGAATCTGTAACATTATTAGAAGATCAATCATTACGTAGCGCGGCTAGCCGTTTGATGGATCAATATTTCGGGGAAGACTTTGTTACTCCTGCAAATGAAATGCAACTCGGTCAGGTCGAAGAAATGGATTAAACGAGGTTGATTTTTTATTTCTTATCACCATGGGATATCTATCGTGACTAATTCGAAGGTTTAATTCTCTTTTATTTATAGACCGATTACCAAATGTATTATACAATTTTATGTCGTCATTTTATCACGTATCCTGTGGTCAAATAAAATGTCGAGTAAATGAAATCGTGGAAAGTGATCATTGTTTCCAAACGAATTGAACTTTTTTAAGAAAATATATGTTTGTGAAATCCGATCATTCAGGAACATGCGAGAATAAAAATGACACAGACTCTCCATTATGAGTACGCCTGATAGCTGAAAAATGCAATGAAAAAATGACATTACTAAATATGTAAACCAAATCGAAAAGATGTTGAACTAACCTTCAGCCAAGGTTGATGAAATGTCAATAGTATCAATTTTCGGACAAATCCTCTTTTTATCTTCATGCGGTATGGTATTGGTCACCACCACTCTTTCCAAACATGAATTATTTATCACATCAATGGCTTTTCCGGAAAGGATTCCATGGGCAACTATTGCATATACCTTCACAGCACCTTTTTCCTTAAGTGTCTTAGCTGCCAGGGCCAATGTTCCACATGTGTCGGCCATGTCATCAACAAGAATAACTACTTTTCCACTAACATCTCCAACTAGTACCATGTTTGAAACTTCATTGGCCTTCTTACGTTCTTTATGGATCAGAGCAAAATCGAGATTTAATCGATCAGCAATCGATGTCGCTCTGATGGTATAAATGCAAAGATTATCCTTGTTAATCCATAAATTTAAATTACATATTTCAATAAATATATAATTACCTTTTTGCCCCGCCGGCATCTGGTGAAACAATAATAGAATTTTTCCAATCATCAATTGAAGTCTTGATATATTTTAACATTGAGGGTTCGCAATACAGATTATCCACAGGCACATTAAAAAATCCTTGAATTTGACTCGCATGCAAGTCTATTGTAATAACATGATCAGCCCCTGCAACTGTCAACATATTTGCAACTAGCTTGGCCGTAATTGGTGCTCTTGATTTATCTTTTTTATCTTGCCTTGCATAAGGAAAACAAGGGATTACTGCTGTAATTCTTCTCGCTGAAGCCGATTTACAAGCATTGATCATGATCAGGAGTTCCATTAAATTATCATTGATTTCTCCGCATCCTGATTGAATGATAAATACATCTTCATCGCGAACCGATTCTCCTATAGTAACTGAAGTTTCTTGATTTGAATACTTAACAACTACTACTTTTGAAAGCTCAATACCCAACCTTCTATTTTTTTTAATGATATGACAAGCCATTGTTAGACCGAAAGGAAGGTAAAAAAAAAGTTCAAAAGCTGACTGACTGTTTTAAAGAACTCAAAATAACACGTCGTCTATTACGATACCTCGCTACAAATTTGGCAAGTTCAACGTGAGAATTCCCCGCAAATATCTTTATTGAATTTGTTGCCATTGTGAGAAATAAAATGGTTGGATCTCGTAAATTTTATTTTATGCAAAAAAAAATCTTGTAAAGAGAATTTTTTTGAAACCGCTGCCTAAGAACACGAAAAAAAAAAGCATGAACAAAAAATGAAGATAATGCCAATTATAGATGTCGTATTATAAATTGTTACATAAAAGGTTAGGAATCATTTTATCGATTTTATCAAGATATCTGCGTTGATCCAATCTGTCCACTGATCCGAAGCACGTTATGTCGTTCCTGATAAAATAACTAACTTGTGTTTCATCAATTCTTAAAATAGTTAATTATAATTTAAATATTAAAAATTATTGTTATCATTGGCTATTAAAATAATTATTATTTATTTGTCATATTTCAATCAAACTAATAATTATAATTTTTTTTTTTATTTTTCTCTGTCAAGTTAGGTATGTATGCTTTATTAAACATATGTATACTTTACATTGGAGAATGTATCACTAAAGCTAAGTCTCTACTTAACTCACTTATCTTTATTTTAAAATTTATTAAAACTCTAAGTGCAATTTTGAAAAAGATTTATCATTTCATTAACAATTTAAGTAAAGATCTTTTCATTATTAACTTTATTGTTTACAGGTCATTATTATAGATCACTTTGTGATATTCTGGCAAAGTTTAAAACTCGATTATTTTATTTCATATTCTATTTTTTTTATTATAATTTCTTAAAGACTTTTATTTTCTAGATATTTTTCTTCAAATAAAAGTTTTTTTTTTTAAAAAAATATAGTTTTCTAATCTAAAGGATATGGAAGTTTTTTTTATCTTGTTCTTCCTATTAATCTCTTATGTTTATTTCTATTCAATTACCTTTTTATATATTTTATTTCAGTTTTTTTTTTAGACTTGATTGTAGATTCTTTTTTGTATCTTTATTATTTACTTTCTTACTATTCTTTTTATATGTTTATCTTGACATTTTAGGTTTACAATTTTTAAAATAAGATTATTTCTTATAAAGTTGATGCAAAAACTTAAAATATTTTGATTGATAATCTTCTATCACATACAAAAAAGATATTTGCAAGAAGTTTCATACTTTCTTATTAATAAATTCTTTATACTTTCATTAAAACAACTTGAAACTTGTCTTTATATATTTTTCTATCTTTCCTTACTTGTTTATAAACTTTTTTAAATAAAAACTTGAAACTCTAGTGACCTGAAAAGATTCAAGTACATATTTTCTCTACTAAAGACAGAAAGATTTTAGAAAGTAAAAGAACTAACAAATGAAATAACACTTTACAAAGCTAAAAATAACAAAAAATAGAGATTTTGTTGATAGAAAAAGGCTTATTATCCACCTTCTCACATACTGTCCTATATTCACTTAAAGTATTTACTGTTTTTC